TATACACCCAATCCCCCCAGTCCTTTTTTTTTTGGAGACAGAGTCTCACCAAGTTGCCAAGACTGGCCTTGAACTTGTGATCATCCTGCCTCAGTCTTCCCAGTTGCTAGGATTACAGGCATGTGCCACAGTGCCCCACATAAAGCTGTGATCCTTCTACACCTAAAAGCAAACTTTGGGTCCCTTTCAAGGTAAAGTGTGATATTTATTGCAGTATTTATATATTACAATTTAATGGTGATATATTTATATATTACCATTAATCTATATTTATATTTCATATTTATACATAAATATATTTATGTATAAATATGTATATGTTTATGTTTATACCTTTAATTTATATATTAACCATTTAATGTGTAAAACTACGTTATTTTTATTAGACTCAATCTTTTTTTATATGTATCACTGATGAAGTTTTGAGTATCATACTCCAAAATGAATGTTTACTGTATGACTTTTCATAGCATGCAAACTTTTAGGAGCCTATATGTTGCTTTATAGAATGAATATTAACATTCTGGAATCAGTCCATTTCTCTACCTCACCACTGCCGTCAGTTTAATCCAAGTAACTATCATCTTCTACAGAAATGGTCTAATTCTGCAATACTCAATCAGAGACAGTACTTCTTCATTCCCACCCCTGTCCAGGTCCTGGAAATATATGTGTGGATGGCAGGAGGAGGCAGTTCTGGTTGCCTAGTAATTATTAGAGGGTCACTATTGGTTCAATGAGCAAGAACCTAGAATGTCACAAGTTCAGTAGTGCCACTCAAAAAGGCCAACTACTGTCCCATTAAGAAAAAGTAACTAGTTTAATCCCAGTGACTCCAGAGGCTGAGGCAAAAGGCTGCAAGTTTCAAAGCCAGCCTCAGCAATTTAGTGAGACCCTAAGCAACTTAGCGAGACCCAGTCACAAAATAAAGAGTTAGGGATGTAGCTCAGTGGTGAAGCACCCCTGGGTTCAATCTCCAGTACAAAAAAAAAAAAAAAAAAAAAAGAAGAAAGAAAAAGAAAAAGAAAGAAAGAAAAAGAAAAAGAAAGAAAGAAAAGGAAAAAGTAACTGGGTTTTCGTATCTGCTCTTGGCTTTCTCTATATTGCACTTAGAGAGACCTTTTAAAAACACAAATCAGATGCCCCCCCCCACCCTTTTTTGGTACCAAGGATTGAACCCAGAGGCACTTAACCACTGAGCCACATCTCCAGGCTTTTTAATTTTTTATTTTGAGACAGTGTCTCCCTAAGTTTCTTAGAGCCTCATTGTGGGAAGCCATTCTGACACGTGACTGGGCGGCTCCCGTTAAGGGTCTGAGGCGTTCTGGCTGTGTCGGAACTTTCCCGGCCCTTTCCTGATGAGAGAACCCATCCGTGTGGGGGTGTGACTGACCACTGACCCTGGGGGCCCAATCACTGACCCTGACCTTGGAGTGCAGTCCCCCCTCAACCTTCATTGGATGGAATTCTCCCCTGAATTTCTTGTTCCCCAATAAAAGGCTACTCCCAGGCATGTTCACTCTCTCTCTCTCCTGCTAGCCCTGAGTAATCCTTGCTGTCCTGCTGGGCGGTTAGAGGAGGGAATCAGAGAGGGGAGCCGTCTCGGACCTGGCAATAGAAATAAGGTAACTGAATCTGTGTGTTTTATTTCGATCTCTTCTAGCTAAACTTTTATGCCAAGAACCTCATTAATGAAACCATTGCGCAGGCCGCATGGTGGACCTCATGAAGTTGCTGAGGCTGGCTTCAAAACTTGTGATCCTCCTGCTTCAGCCTCCCCAGTTGGGATTCCAGGCATATGCCATTGTATCCAGCCAGATAATGCCTCTTAATACCCTTTAAAGCTTCCCCTTACCCTAAAGATAAAGATCAAAATCAAAATATGGTCCTGCTTTCCTCTTCAGTTTCATCATACCAGTCTCTTCTTCCCACATTCACTATGCTTTAGGTAGTCATTCACTCAACATATAATGATTAAATTGTCTATGGGCCATGAACCATTCGAAGTAATGGAAATAAAACAGTAAACAAGAGACAAAAGTTCTGCATCCTCCTGGTTTCTATGAAGCTGCCAGGTTTCTCTTCATCTAAGGGCCTTACTGCATGCTGTTCTCTGTGCTTAGTCATTCCTCCTTCACTCTTCAGTTTAGAAAACCTTTCTCAGAAAACTATTCTTTGATTCCACACAACTAAGTCATATTCCTTATTATATGATCCGCAACTCTGAACTGTTTAGCGTTCTCAATTCAGCTGAAATTGTTTGGTCAACATCCATTTTTTCTGTTACAGTCCCAGAGCCTAGCATAGTACCTGGCACACAGAAGGCCCTCAAGATTTATTTCTTGATGAAAATGTATACATTTATATATATGCACATGTCTTCAGATTTTATGAACACATAGAAACATTCATGTCTGTTCATATTTCCACATATTTCTGCAGGTGACTATTTATGTGGATATGTAAATACATGGGCATGCACATAAGGATATGTATAATTTCGAGTATACTTACTTGGGTGTATTTATTCACACGAGAACCTGTGTGTCCTTAGGCGCGCATGTGTGTGTGTGTGTGTGTGTGTATGCACGGGTGCGCATGTGTATTTTTTCTGGCCCTTCAGTGACAGCTTTGCCCTCCTGGAGGGAGCTGGGAGCAGGGCCCAAAGTCTTCTCTAAGCTGACAGCTCAATAAAAGTCTAAGATCATTCAATGACATTCCAAATGTCAGCAAGCACTGGCATGCTCTACTCTGCTACAGGGGAAGTAGATGGAGGCGGGAGATGTAGAAACCTGGCTGTTGAAAAGCTGCTCTTTCCTGACCCAGCCCATACCATTTCTGGAGAAGATAGGACAGCTGAGAGACGGCACTTTGCTTTTCTTAGATTAGGGGCTTCAGGAAATGGGGATGGTGAGTTCAGTCCCAGTTGCTCACTTAAGGGTACATTTGGAATGATGTGACTAGAAGGCACTAGGGGTTAGATCCTTTGTTTTTCCCAGATCTGCTTGGTTTACCTCACAAGAGGAAATCACAAGGCCAACTGAAAATAGAGTCCTAAGTTTCTCCTCGTGCTCATTTCCCCCCTCTATCTTGACAGTTGGTGGAGAACCAAGCTGATGAGGCTCAGGAATTCCTCCCCCACCCTTTGGGCCCAACAGCACCAAGGTGGCCCTGAGTGGCAATGTTACCACATGGGTCAGCTGCTTTCCTGCCTTTCTGCCAAGGAACCTAGAGGCGTGGAGCTGTCCACACACCAAAAAGTCAAGTGAACTTCACAGAGTAATTGTTCATGGTCAGCGCCTGCTGCGCCTGGACGGGTCTTCACATTGCATTTGCTGAGGCTAGAGAGCAGCCTCAGATGAGCTCTGACAGCTAGCATGCTGTCTTTCAGGAGTGTATGCCCAGCTACACGGGCATGCTTAGCGCACCAAACCCTGCCTGGGAAGCCTCTGTGGAGTTAGTTCTCAAAGATGATCCAGTCAGCCAGCAATTATTCACTGAGAACATATTCTGTACCCAGCCTTGGTCTAACCACTGGGGACACAGAAGAGACTCAGTCTCTGTACTCCAGGTGTACATGTCTGGGAGGAAAATACATGGACTCAGTTTCAACTGAGTTAACTAATCCCAAGTGCCAAAGAGCCTCAGGGCAAGAGAGGCTCAGCAGAAATGATACCTAGGTGGATTTTCAGGGAGAGGGAATATGTACAATGAAAATAACTGGGGGAGATGATTTCAGGCAGAGGGAAGGCCAGAGGCCAGGTCCCAAAGGTAGGACAGAGCCTAGTCTTCTCAAAGATGAGAAGTAGTAGATGGCATTGGCTCAGCTGCAGGGGAGATCAGCAGGAGAAATGGATAGGGGTAAAAGTACAAAGAAGTCAGAGTGCAAAGGACATCTATAAGTATTTGTTCCACATTCCTTGGACTTGGTTCCATGCTTTGTGGCAGCAGTTGCCACAAACTTTCTCTTCTACTGTTCTCCCACATGTTTGCTTAGCTCTAGCCACACACACCAAAAGCATGATGCTCTCGCTGCCTAGAAATATTATTTCCTCCTTGTATCCATATTGCCCCAGTTTAAGATCCAAATCTTCCCAATACCTAGCCTCAGCACCCTGCACCCCTGCAAAGGCTTCTTTTTTCTGAGCTACCACCCTGATCCCTAGTATGTTCTTCCTTCTTTTGGCTTCCTGGGAGTTGCTAAACTGACCAGAAGCATGAGGTTCCTGAGAGTGCTCTAAGGCTCTTGTCCTATATCAGAATGATTTATGGGGGTTAGTCTCCTAGTGGATTGGGCCTTCTGTAATAAGGATTCCTCTAGACAGAGATGTGGGGAGTCTAAACCTATATATCCTTCCTAATGCTTACCTAGAAAACACAACAAACACAGAGAAAGTACAGTTTTCTGGATGATTAATTCTCTACCACAGTCATTGTCTTAGCTACACAGGATCCTTACCAGCCCAGAGCTTTAGTACCAACTCTCGAGGTCCTCAGGGCTGCATTAGTGCCAGTCTCCTCCCTCCTGTACACATGAATGAGGCGCTGCTAAGGCTAGGTGGGACCAAAACCAGCTTGTATGGACTCTCCTTCCAACCAGAGGGAGATACCAAGGCCAATCAAGAGGCTCAGAAGCTACACTCCTGAGGTCACCAAAGAATACTTTCCCAGAGACTCAGCTAGCACCCCATCTCTTACTAATAATGTGGCTCAGCCCAGAGATTTGGCTCTGACTGAGAACCCTGGAAAATTCCTTTATCTGGGACCTCTATGCATATCTGCATAAAACCAACTAGAGCAGTATATTTTACCTAGTCCTCAGCAGATTCCCACTCCCAGAAATAACTATAACATTTCAGTACCCATTAGCTAGGGAAGAGGAAGAAGAGAAGTTGGGAAAAAAGAAAAGAGAACAAAAAGAAAAAGACAACAGAAATGGGAGGGGAGCTCTGAGGCATAGGAGAACCCGAGGAAGACCTTGGGTAGGGCTCAGATAGTACCTTTTTCAGATTAATCCACTGCTTGAAGTAATCCGCCACTGGCAAACCCAAGTACTGGCACTGGCCTGGAAGCCTACAAGAAAGGGAAGAGAGAACAAGTTGGACACACACATGCCCCAGGCATGGAGTCTTAAGCTAGGAAGTCCCAATAAAGTCTACAGGACAAATAGACTCCAAAGGCTAACCCATTAGCCATGGATCCCACCCCATTCAAGGAAAGGACCCCGACCTCTAGCACCATACACTCTGGGCTCTAGAATCAACCCAAATGTGAGTGCCTGAAAAAGCTATTCAAAATAATACCAGCAACTATTATTCCCTAATGGCCTACAGTATGCTAAATATCTTGCTTACACTTTTCACATCTAACCTCCAATGGATTGCTTTGAGGTAGGAAGTGTTATTTACAGTTTCCACACACACACACACAAATGATACTCAAGCAACAAAAAGCAGACTGTATTCCTTTCATTTCCTTTTCTTGTCTTATTGGAATATGAGAGTTTTTTTTTTGTTGTTTTTTTGAAACAGTAATCTTTTTTTTTTTTTTTTTTTTTTTTTTGAGAGAATTTTTTAATATTTATTTTTTAGTTTTCAGCAGGCACAACATCTTTGTTTGTATGTGGTGCTGAGGATCGAACCCGGGCCGCACGCATGCCAGGCGAGCGTGCTACCGCTTGAGCCACATCCCCAGCCCCAGAAACAGTAATCTTTTGAACCCAGGGCCTCACCTATATTAGGTAACACTCTGATACTAAGCTACACCCTCAATTCTTGTTTTTTTTTTTTTTTAAACCATAAATAGGTATATGATTCTGTCAAATGGTTTTCTGGAAAAATAAAATAAATTATTGTTGCGTAAAAAGAGAAAGAAAAAAATGAAATTCAGAGGGGTTATTCAAGATCCCACAGCTAAAAAATGATAATGCCAAGACCTGAACTCAGTTCTGTCAGACTCTAAAGCCTATGTTCTTTCCAATGACCCAGTCTCTTGTTTAGTTATAGCAAAGAGGCAGAGATACAAGATAGGAGGAAAGAGAGGGAATGAGCACATGATGTAGAGATAGATAGGCAGGGACTCACTTCACTTTTAAACCTCTACCTGTAGGCTTATTTCAGATAGAGAAGGAACCATGCATTAGAGTAAGAGGAGGTCATGGGCTGGGGTTATGGCCCAGTGATAGAGCGCCTGCCTAGCACATGTGAGGCACTAGGTTTGATCCTCAGCATTACATAAAACTAACTAAATAAATAAATAAATAAATAAATAAATAAATAAGAGGAGGTCAGAATTAAAACCAAGGGTCTGTTCTTTTTTTTTTTTTTTTTTTTAAGAGAGAGAGAGAGAGAGAGAGAATTTTAATATTTATTTTTTAGTTTTCGGCGGACACAACATCTTTGTTTGTATGTGGTGCTGAGGATCGAACCCGGGCCGTACGCATGCCAGCTGAGTGCGCTACCGCTTGAGCCACATCCCCAGCCCCCAAGGGTCTGTTCTTGTTTTGGTTTTTTAAAGTATAATCTACCATCTCCCGCTCTAGCTGATGATGCCATTTTATCCACACAAATCAATTTCAACCAAACATGTATGATACCTGATGAGAATCAAGAAATAAGGATTCAAATAACTCTGAAAATGTTAACTCTGTAAATGCCTCAGTTTGTTCAGAGGAATTGACAGTGAAAGTAAAAAAGGTGCCTTGAACTGGAACATAAAGACATGTGGAAGGACAGAGAAAATTCATGTCACTAGAAACATAAACCAGAAAAGATACAGTGTTTTCTTTCTAAGAAAAGTGGCCACAGGCAATAAAGAGCCTCTGAGGAGTTCTAATTTACAGATAATTGTCCTGGGGCAACAAAAACAATAGATTAAAAACACCAGGTGGTAGCCAGGATACCAGAGACAGTAGTGGCAGAGACAGAGATCAAGGAACAGACATAGGAGATTTAAATAAGGACCTGGTAACCACATGAGATATGGGGTTTACTATTCTTTAGAGCTTGAATAGGTACTTAGGGGCAAATATCCCTATATGTTTTTAACACAAACACATTCATTTCTTCAGGAAAAAACTACCAATATCACTGACAGCTGCCAACCCACAACTACAGATTCTGGCTTTAAAGGTCAAAATTCAAATTCTAGTATCCAATAACACTCTTTCTCAGGCTGACTTTGTGTTAGCCAAATACCCAGCCTGTGGCGCTACTGGGAGGTGGCAGAACTTTTAGGAGGCAGGGCCTACTCAGAGGAAATTAGGTTATTGGGGTGATGCCATGTAAAAGGATAATTTGGATTTGTGCCCCTTCTTCTCCCTGCTTCCTGGCTTCTGTGAGGTGAACAAACCTCTATCACACACTTCCGCCACAATGTTCTGTCTTGCCACAGATCCAAAGCAACAGGGCCAGATGACCACAGACTGAAACCCCTGAACAATGAGCCCAAATATATCTTTCTTCTTTTTAAGTTTATTATTTCAGGTATCTTGTCATAGTAACAAAAAGCTGACTAACACATGGCTCAAAAAAAGAAAATAAAGCAGCCCAAGCCAAAAGTTTGTGGCTTGGGTAGAGGTAAGTTTGAGTACATCCCTCAAAGCTAATGTGTTGGAAACTTAATCTCCAATGCGACATGTTAAGAGGTAGGACCTTTACGAAGTGATTAGGATTAATGCTAGTTATAGAAGTGGGTTTCTGATAAAAGGATGAGTTTGGCACCTTTCCTTTGTCTGTCTTTCACACACATGCTCTTTTGCCCTTCTGCCTTCTATTATGGGATGACACAGGAAGAAACCCCTCACCAGATGTGGAGCTCTCAACCTTGGACTTCCCAGACTCCAGAATTGAGAAACGAATCTCTGGGTAATAAATTAACCAGTCACAGGAATCCTGTTATAGCAACACAAAACAGACTAAAACAACTAGCTTCACACTATACACTAAAATAGAGGAGGTGGTAACAAAGAAAGCATATTTGAGGCCAGGATTTGGTCAATTTTATCATGGTCTTTAAGTTTTCTGCATATAGAGTACCCCTTTACTGCTTAAACTGGGGTAGACTGCCCCTACTACCCCACCTCTGCCTCCTTTTAGTATATCACTAAAAATGCTTGCTAAGCTCAGTTATTTTAGTTTATCACTAAAAGGAGGCAGAAATTTGGGAATGCAAATTTCAGATATATGTCTGACACAAGGTAAACACTCAATGTCTGCTGAATTTGAGGATCCTAGGAGACATCTGACAGTAGAATGTCATCTATGAGGCAGCTACATACTAGTTCTGCAGAGATATCTGGCCTAGGAATATAGATCATTGATCATTAATTTAATGTAAGGAAAATTAAGAGTAGATATTACTATACTCACCTGGGAAGAACACAGAATGAGAGTGAGCAGAGGGCCCAGGCTAATGTCTTATAAAGTTTATTGAGCTAAAATGAAACCACCTCTAGCAGACGGTCACCACACACAAAGAACTCATACTTCACAGAGCAGACAGCTCTAATTTTGAACTCAATTTTAGAACATCTTTCCTTAAACACTTAACTAAACCCTGGTGTTCCCACAACTCTATTCATAAGCCAGAGGTATGTCTTCAGAAACTACAGAGACTTCTATTTCTTCCTTGCAGAACCCTTCAAGATCTGAGAGCCCAGAAAGCTTCCTTTAGAATTCCCTTCTCCAGGCCCCAAACCCTCATCTCCTTTCAGAGTTCCTCAGGAAACAATGTGTCATGAGTCAGGACTCAACCAAATTCACCCCATCCCCAGAAAGCAGGGCCCCAGACCTTTTTCAGGTTATCAGACACTGAGGTCACACATTCTCTTTTGACCCCATTTCACATCATCTATGGCCAATCTAAACCGAGGAAGTATGTTTCCCTTTTCTGTAATATTTATAACTATTTCTTGAGCTTAAAATACAGGTCATTCATGTCAAGTGTCATGGAGTGGGCAAGCAGGAAGAGAGCTGAGAAAACCCCAATTGATTTGGTAATAGGAGGTCACAGGCAATCTTGGTGAGAAGGGTATTAGTGGGCCAGGTGGGGGTGGGCAGAGACAGCTTGCAAAGTGTTAAAGAGTGAGCAAGAGACAAGAATGTAAACTTTTTTTTTTTTTTAAGGTTTGGCTATGATAATTTAGTTACAAGACAAGTTTGATCCAGAAACTTTAAGAGCAATCTAGCCTTCCCTCCACTATCCTACAGATACCTCAACAACAGATGCTAACAGGAAATCGACTTCCATATTTAGGCAATATAAAGATTTATTTTTATATGATCTAAGATATCTTCTGTGAGGAAAAGGGTCCTGTCAAACATCCAGGTGGCACAGTGAGTGATATTAATTTATAACCAGTCAGTTTTCTGGAAGAGAAGTTCTGGCTGAGGCCAAGAGGATAAAGGGGGATATCCAGAGAGGATGTGCCCATACGGGACCAAGGATCAAGGATAAGAGAAAATAAGGTAAGGTTTTTAAGGATAAGAAGTAGCCTTAGAGCTAGAATGTGGTTGCCTAAGAAGCAAAACTGTAATCTGACGTCTCAAGTAATTTTCTTTTTTCCTTCAACCTTTCTCTTTTTCTCTCTCTCTCTCTCTCTCTAATATTTGGTTTTATAGTTGTAGTTGAACACGGCACCTGGCACATGCTAGGTGAGCGCTCCTACCTCTGAGCCACAACCCCAGCCCCCAACCTTCTCTTATGTTCCTTGTCCTTGGTTTGAAAAACGTTTGCTAAGCTCAGTTACTTTATTTTTCTCTCATACTTTTTATTGGTACATAACAGTTGTTGTATATTTGTACATGTACACAGTAAAATTTGGCCAATATCATTCCCCAGTATTTCCCCTTTTCCTTCCTTCCCACCTCCCCCTGGTCCTTTACTTCAACTGATCTCCCTTATATTTTCATGAGACACCTACCCCCCGACACCTTTCTTTCTCATTTTTAAAATTTTTTCTTTGTACTTATACATGCCAGAGAATGTATTTTGACATATCATACATACGTGGACTATAACCCCCATTCTTGTGGTTGTACATGATATGGAATTACACTGGTGGTGTATTCATA